CTTGCAAATGGGAGGGTACTCTCAAGTGGGAGAGATTACACATATGTCGGGGATAGAGTGGTGAGTGGATGGGAAGTCTACTCTCTATTTAATTTTGTTCTGAATATAAAACTACTCAAAAAAAATAAAATCCAAGGCCAGGCATAGCAATACTCACCTATCATCCCAACCTTTAGGAAGAGAGGGTTGCTGCAAGTTTAAGGCTATCCTGGGCTACAGGGAGTTCCAAAGCATGTTGTTGTAGTATGAGACCCTGTCGATAAAAACATCCCCCTATAGTAACCAAATCAAAAAGTCCACAATCTAAAACAATGTCAGTAACTAACAAGTGAACAGTTTGAGTCCTTTTTTTTTCCTATCCCGTAAAGACGTGCCTAAGAGTAAATCAAATCAGGGAAGGATAATATGAAATGAAAGAAAGTCATAGGCCGCTTCACTCTGTGGCTTTAAAAGCTCCGTGTCTTAACTCATGTCTGCTCCGAAGTTGCCTAAAACCTGAGGGGACCGCTCCATATATATGGCATATGTTCCAAGTAGATGGACTGCATCTCAGTCTAGATTATGGACCAAATTCCCAGGACAAGCAGTACCCCAAACCTCTAACAACTATAACTAGCTCCACTGTGCATCTCCTTCCCATGGACCCTAGCCATTACTCGCGCATTATTTTTCTCATGTTTATGAGCAAAAATCTGATGAAGAAGCAACTTAAGGAAGCAGGGCTTCTTCTGACCAGAAGTTTGAGGATGTAGCTGTGGTGGGGAAATCACGGAAAGAGGAGCAGCTCTCGGCTGTGGCAGCAGGAATAGGAGGAATAGGAGGTTGCTTCCTCACATCTCTGTAGACTAGGAAGCCAAGCTTCAGCAGACTATCAGCCTCAGGGCCCACCCTACAAAGAACCACTTCTTCTGGCAAGTCCCCACCTCACAAAACAGCACCACCAGCTGGGAATCACGTGTTCACACACATGCCCCCGTGAGAGAAATTTACTTCTAAACCATAACACACCAGGCCCTACACCAAGAGGTAGGGATTAAAGCAGGCTGCTTTCAAACTGTGGCTCAGAAAGGGAAACACTGATCTCCAGTGTGTCTGCAAGAGACTGTTGGAGTCAGTCATTCATGTTTTATGGGAAAAAATTAAGTGTCAGTGTACACCAAAAAGAAATAAGCAAGATCAAAAGAATCAGCATGGTGGCTGCACAAACATGGTGGTGTCAGAACAAATCACAGTGTGCAGAGTAGGGGGCGCAGCAAACACATAAAATTAAATAGGAGAAAGGTTTGATCAGGCCTCAATCAGTTGACTTGATTGCTGTTGGTCCCAAGACAAGATAGTTGAAGGCAGGAGTGTCTGATAGAATCAGAGCTATAAGAGATTGAGGTACCAGAATCCTCTTCAAAGACACCAGTAACCTAAAAGCCTCCCACCAAGTCCCACTTCTTATGCAATATCCCCTCAAGCTAGGAAACCAGTCCTTCCCAGATGGGCAGAGGAGAGGCAGCCCAGATCCAAATTGTAGCATTCTTGAAGAAAATGAATTTAGGGCACAGAAACAAATGTCCCATGGTGTCTTGATCAAAGATAACATACGCTAAAACATTAACAGGGATATTGTGGTGGTGTGAATGTGCTTGTCCCATGAGAAGTGAAACTATTAGGAGGTATGGCTGTACTGGAGGAAGGGTAGCCTTGTTAGAGGAAGAGTGACATGGTGGAGGAGGGATTTCAGGTCTCATTTGTGTGTGTATGTGTGTGCACATGCGCTGTGCATGTGCTATGTGTCTGTGTATGCATGACTGTGTATGCTTAAGTCAGGCCACTGTGATCAAGACCCTCCCCTGGCTGCCTACAGAAGACAGCCTCCTCCTGGTTGCCTTCAAATCAAGAGCCAGAACTTTCAGCTTCCCCAGCCCCATATCTGGCTGCATGTTGCCATGCTTCCTGCCATGATGATAATCAACTGAACCTCTGAACCTGTAAGCCCGCCCCAGTTAAATGTTTTTCTTTGTAAGAGTTGCCTGGGTCTTGGTGTCTCTTCACAGCCATAAAGCCTTAACTGAGACAGATATCAGATAAATTTTGGAGAACTTTTAAGAACTCGGTCCCAAAGCCATGAGAAGGAAAGAAAAGGCAGAGTTGAGTTAAAGAAATCAAGAAATAAAAGTCTGTGAGTGTGGAGAAGGGATGTGTGCTAGAAACAGTATGCATGTGAAAGTCGCTGAAACTGTATCTATTGTCAATAGAAACAAAACTATTTATATAATCCCAGTGATCTCAGATCACAGATCAGTAAATAAAAGACAGAGAGAATCCAGAAGCTATAGTGACACCCAAGTATAATCCCTGAGGACTGTTGTCAGAGTCCCTGGATATAGATGCTCACCTATGGAAGAGAAGACTTGCTGCATACTGTAAGAAACCTTCTAGAAAAGAAAAAAGAGCAAATCTATCCTAAGAAATGTAATATAGGAAATTCAAAATGCAAACGTGGCTCAGTTAAAGCTGTTAAACCCCAATGATGAAGTAAGTCACTCTTCAAACCAGAATAAGCGAGTTTCCTTCAAGGAAGAAAATCACCCAGCTCAACTCAAATCCAAAGCAATGCTCTCAGAAAATAGGGCTTGGAGACAGCCCAGGTGGTAAAGGTTATCTGGTATTTTTGTAAAACATGAATCTTTGAAACATCTTGCCTTTTTAAAAAGAAAAAAAATGGTGTAAGGCGAAGGAAATGGTTCAGTCGGTAAAGTGCCTGCCCTGCAAGCGTCAGGACCTGGGTTTGTATCCCCAGAAACCACTTAAAAAGCTAGACATGGCAGCTCATGCCTGCACCCTAGCCTTGTTGGGGGCAAAGTGCACACAAGAAGCTGAGAGGCAAGTCCTTGAAGATAATTGGCTAGCCAGTCTCCCTGAGTTGATGTGCACCAGGTTCAGTGAGAGAGCCTGTCTCAAACAGTAAAGCTAGAACAAGATAGAGGAAGGCATTCACCATTGACTTTGAGCTTTCACACACACATGCACTTATGCGCATGTGGACCGAATGCACACATATAAACCACACTCATACGCATGCACACACACACACGCACGCACGCACGCACGCACGCACGCACGCACCACCACCATACATTAGCTAGCAGTTTTAACTTCCTAAAACAGTGATGTGGCTTTTCTTAAAACAGACATAATATGCTAAGTAGCTAAGGTTAATTATAGATGGTATAGATATGTTAAGATATTATTTTTGCTATTCTTAATTAGAATTGTTTATTTATGAATAGAGGATGAGGGGGGAAAAGACTGTACGTTCTAGGACATTCCCACTTACAGAAGGCCTTTGTGGTGGTGACCAGGGATGGATCCCCATGGGAACTCATTCTTATCGGGTCCCAAAGGTACTAAAAACCCTTCCAAATCCATCTTCATGACCGGCTTCGTGCAGATGGCTTAAGATTGCATCTCTTTCACTAAAACATATGAAACATATTTGGGGCACACTTAGAAAAGAAACAGAGGGAAGAAATGGTTTGAAAACTTTAATAGCCAAACCTTTGGGCAGAGGGGCAGCATCTCACCCTGAAAATTATATGCTATGTAGACCAGGCTAGCCTCAAACTCAGAGAGATCCACTTGTCTCTGCCCTATGAGTGCTGGGATTAGAAGTGTGTATTCCTATGCCCACCTATAAGCCTTTTAAACAGCTTGAGATACAATTCATATATCCAATATTCATATTTTTAGAGAGTTGGATTCTGTGTGTTTTAATATAGTCAGTAAGATGTGAAACTCTTCAACTCTCTGTCTGATTGGAGAACAACCTGTGTGTGTGTGTGTGTGTGTGTGTGTGTGTGTGTGTGTGTGTGTGTGTGTGTCGGGGGGTAGG